AAGTACTCAGTCTTGTACTTGAGTCAAAGTAGAAGTACTCAGATCTGTACTTGAGTAAAAGTAGAAGTCCTCAGATCTTGTACTTGAGTAATAAAGTAGAAGTACTCAGATCTGTACTTTGAGTAAAGTAGACAGTACTCAGAGATCTTGTACTTGAGTAAAGTTAGAAGTAGAAGAAGTACCAGATCTTGGTACTTGAGTAAAAGTAGACAGTACTCAGGTCTTGTAATTGAGTAAAAAGTATGACAGTCTCCTCAGATTCCTTGTACTTGAGTAAAAGTAGAAGTACTCAATCTTGTACTTGAGTAAAAGTAGTAAGGTACTCAGATCTTGTACTTGAGTAAAAGTTAGAAGAGTACTCAGATCTTGTACTTGAGGAGTAAAAGTAGAAGTATCAGATCTTGTGCTTGATCAACAAGTAGAAGTTCTCAGATCTTGTACTTGAGTAAAAGTAGAAGTACTCAGATCTTGTACTTGAGTAAAAGTAGAAGTACTCAGATCTTGTACTTGAGTAAAAGTAGAAGTTCTCAGATCTTGTACTTGAGTAAAAGTAGAAGTTCTCAGATCTTGTACTTGAGTAAAAGTAGAAGTACTCAGATCTTGTACTTGAGTAAAAGTAGAAGTACTCAGATCTTGTACTTGAGTAAAAGTAGAAGTACTCAGATCTTGTACTTGAGTAAAAGTAGAAGTACTCAGATCTTGTACTTGAGTAAAAGTAGAAGTACTCAGATCTTGTACTTGAGTAAAAGTAGAAGTTCTCAGATCTTGTACTTGAGTAAAAGTAGAAGTACTCAGATCTTGTACTTGAGTAAAAGTAGAAGTTCTCAGATCTTGTACTTGAGTAAAAGTAGAAGTACTACAGTGTAAAAATGCTAAATGTCATATTTCAATCACTGAATTATATATGTGTTCATCACAGCTTGGATATATTATCTGATCATCTGAATGAATTAACTAGTAACTAAATAAATGTAGTGGAGTCAGGGCCGGCCCTGACCAATTTGCCGCCCTAGGCGAGATTTTAGCTGGCGCCCCCCCCCCCCCCCAGTCACTCACTATGATTGGCGCATGCACGGTTGTGGCATGACCACCAAAACAAAGATATGGACACAATATGTGTGCAACTGTATTTAGTTTCCTATCCATTTGAACATCATTTAAGTGGGGGGGACCTCACCTTCTCTAGGGGGGTCCGGGGGCATGCTCCCCCGGGAAGACTTTTTTTTTTAATATTGAAGTTAAAAGCATCAATCTGGTGCACTTTGAGAGCAACATGAAGAGATGGATACCTCTCTCAACACCCAGATGAAACAGAACTGGAAGCAGATGTTCTTTTTCTTTATGGATATTTTACAAATCACTCCCCTTTCAAACTGTTTTCTTGTTTATTAATAACTACTTTTTTTACTGTCATATAATATTTTATACCTGTTTTTCATCTATTCTCTTATTTTTTCACAACTATAATGATCATATAAAGGTGTGCCTTTACCTCACTGAGCTGAGGTTATCAGAGCCTCTCAGTCTTTCAGGAGAGAGCTCTCTGAAGCTCTCCCCCCCGCGGCCGCTTACACAGTAAATTCCAATGTTAATAAAAGCACACAGAAGCTGTGTACGTTTTTTGGGAGTTTGATTTATTTTAAATTAACACAAAAACAAAATTAAAACCTATAATTGCCCACTAAAACCATTATTTCAAAAAAAGAACAATTTCACATAAACCTCTGGTTTTTACTGGGGCTGGGGCAGTTCAACTTGATTTGGGGGGGAGGGGTGCGCCATAGTATACATAGTATATATATATATAGTAGGACGCTGTACGCAATATAGGCGTAGTGCTGTTAGTATAAGATAATAACTTTGTTGATCCAAAATCGGGAAATTGTGTTATGAAATAAAAAAAATTATATTTTTTTAATTTCTAACTTTTTCTTTTTTTCAATTTTTGGCGCCCCCTATGGGTTGATGCGCCCTTAGCATTCGCCTATACTGCCTATGCCGAGGGCCGGCCCTGAGTGGAGTACACATACCCCAAAGTGGTACTTCAGTACAGCTCTTGAGTAAATGTTCTTCACCACATCAGTGTCTCTGATTGGTTGTTTTGAACCTCTGTATCTGCAGGGCTTCTTCCGGAGGAGCATCCAGAAGAACATGCTGTACACGTGTCACCGAGACAAGGTGTGTGTGATCAACAAGGTGACGAGGAACCGCTGCCAGAGCTGCAGACTGACCAAGTGCCTGGAGGTCGGCATGTCCAAGGAGTGTGAGTCCGAGGGTGTGTGTGTGTGTGTGTGTGTGTGTGTGCGTGTGTGTGTGTTAATGTCTAAAATTGCTTTAGTTGTCACGCAATAATAAAGAAGAGCAGGAGAGGAGCTCTGTCTCCCCCTGGTGGCTGCTCCTGGTTATTACATCCATACATTAACCACCAGTATAACTTCCATGTATAATAACCAGTATAAAACCAGTATACTAACCAGTATAATAACCAGTATACTAACCAGTATAATAACCAGTATACTAACCAATAACCAGTAACTGTAACACCTGCTACAGGTGTGTGTTCTTGCATGTGCTTGGAGATCACACCATAGAGCTGCAGGGTTACAGGAGATATTCAGGATGAACCAGATTATAGCTGATGATGTTCAGTGGAAAACTGGAGATACGGCTTTATTATTACACCGTTTTTAAATCACTGAAAAGATAACTGTATGTAAGATGTCACTGCTGTAATCTAACTCATCCTCCTCCTCCTCCTCTTCCTCAGTGGTGCGTAACGACAGGATGAAGAAGAAGAAGGAGGACAAGCGCCCCCTGGAGGTTGAGGTCTACGTTCTGTCTGCAGAAACAGAGCAGATGATCGAGGGAGTGAGACGAGCTCATCAGGGAACCTTCCCCTCTCTGGAGCAGCTGGGGAAATACACCACGGTACACACACACACACACACACATCGCTAAGAGGTTGACCAATCAGAAGAGAGCCGGCCAGCTAACCAATCAGAGCAGACTGGGCTCTGTTTTCAGACAGAGGGTGAAAAGAGGGGCTGCAGCACAGGCAGTGTGAGAACAACAAAGAGCTCTCTGAACATTAGAGGAGACGTGTGATGTGTATTGTTAAAGTGTGTATCACAGACTTCTGATGCATCCTCTCCTCTCTCTCTTCCTGCAGAGCAACAGCTCAGAGCGACGCGTCTCTCTGGATGTTTCCCTGTGGGATAAGTTCAGCGAGCTCTCCACTAAATGCATCATAAAGACGGTGGAGTTTGCCAAGCAGCTGCCGGGCTTCACCACGCTCTCCATCGCTGACCAGATCACGCTGCTGAAGGCCGCCTGCCTGGACATCCTGGTGAGGACACACTGTGAAGAACATACAATACGATGCAGCTTCCAAAGCTCCACACCAAAGCGCTGTCCAGCCAAAGAAACAGATCCCACAGCTCAGCTCACACACCAGAAAACAAGTCAAAACAATCAACTACTTCAACGCAATAGAAGCAAGAATCTACCAGATACGCTAAGGAGAAGCAGACAACATGTGGTCTGCAGGTGTACTGCAGTACTCCTTCTACCTGTATTTACATGTAAGGACACTTTATACTGCAGAGGGACACATCCTACTTTTACTCCTGTACATATATCTCATCACACGTACAACACAACCTCATGTCTACCAAGTAAAGACGTGTGAGACGGATCAAAGAAGCAGCAATGAGCAGTAAATCAATTGATGCCTAAAATAACCATAAATGCAAAACATTCAAATTAAATTAAAGATATTTATAAAAAGACTGAAAGTAACATAAATGTGAACACATGGTTAATAAAGGCTGAGCGTAGCAAAGTGAACGGGGTACTTAGTACATGTAAAAACACCTGGTGTGTATTGACTGAGTGACCCCAGGCTGACAGCTCCACTCAGACACAGCTTTAGTTTCAGAGAGGCCTTTTACTTTGAGGTTCAGCACACGGCACCAGGACCAGACCAGGGACAGGACCAGGACAGACCAGGACAGACCAGGACAGACCAGGACAGACCAGGACAGACCCAGGACAGGACCAGGACAGACCAGGACAGACCAGACAGACAGGACAGACCAGGACAGACCAGGACAGACCCAGGACCGACCAGGACAGACAGGACAGACCAGGACAGACCAGGACAGACCAGGACAGACCAGGACAGACCAGGACAGGACCAGGACGACCAGGACCAGACCAGACAGACCAGGACAGACCAGGACAGACCAGGACAGACCAGGACAGACCAGGACAGACCAGGACAGACCAGGACAGACCAGGACAGACCAGGACAGACCAGGACAGACCTGGACAGACCAGGACAGACCAGGACAGACCAGGACAGACCAGGACAGACCAGGACAGACCAGGACAGACCAGGACAGACCTGGACAGACCAGGACAGACCAGGACAGACCAGGACAGACCAGGACAGACCAGGACAGACCAGGACAGACCAGGACAGACCAGGACAGACACCAGGACAGACCAGGCCAACCAGACGACCAGGACAGACAAGGGACAGACCGGAGACAGGACAGACCAGGACAGACCAGGACAGACGGACAGACCAGGAGACCAGGACAGACCAGGACAGACCAGGACAGACCAGGACAGACCAGGACAGACAGGACAGACCAGGACAGACCAACAGGACAGACCAGGACAGACCAGGACAGACCAGGATAGACCAGGACAGACCAGACAGACCAGACCAGGACAGACCAGGACAGACCAGGACAGACCAGGACCAGGACAGACCAGGACAGACCCTGATAGACCAGGACAGACCAGGACAGACCAGACCAGGACAGACCAGGACAGACCAGGACAGACCAGGACAGACCAGGACAGACCAGGACAGACCCGGACAGACCAGGACAGACCAGGACAGACCAGGACAGACCAGGACAGACCAGGACAGACCAGGACAGACCAGACAGGACAGACCAGGACAGACCAGGACAGACCAGGACAGACCAGGACAGACCAGGACAGACCAGGACAGACCAGGACAGACCAGGACAGAACAGGACAGACCAGGACAGACCAGGACAGACCAGGACAGACCAGGACAGACCAGACCAGGACAGACCAGGACAGACCAGGACAGACCAGGACAGACCAGGACAGACCAGGACAGACCAGGACAGACCAGGACAGACCAGGACAGACCAGGACAGACCCGGACAGACCAGACCAGGACAGACCAGGACAGACCAGGACAGACCAGGACAGACCAGGACAGACCAGGACAGAACAGGCAGACAGACCAGGACAGACCAGGACAGACCAGGACAGACCAGGACAGACCAGGACAGACCAGGACAGACCAGACCAGGACAGACCAGGACAGACCAGGACAGACCAGGACAGACCAGGACAGACCAGGACAGACCAGGACAGACCAGACCAGGACAGACCAGGACAGACCAGGACAGACCAGGACAGACCAGGACAGACCCGGACAGACCAGGACAGACCAGGACAGACCAGGACACCAGGACAGACCCGGACAGACCAGGACAGACCAGGACAGACCAGGACAGACCAGGACAGACCCGGACAGACCAGGACAGACCAGGACAGACCAGGACAGACCCGGACAGACCAGGACAGACCAGGACAGACCCGGACAGACCAGGACAGACCTGGACAGACCAGGACAGACCAGGACAGACCCGGACAGACCAGGACAGACCAGGACAGACCAGGACAGACCCGGACAGACCAGGACAGACCCGGACAGACCGGAAGACCAGGACAGACCAGGACAGACCGGACAGACCAGGACAGACCAGGACAGACCAGGATAGACCCGGACAGACCAGGACAGACCAGGACAGACCAGGACAGACCCGGACAGACCAGGACAGAACCGGAGAGACCAGACCAGGACAGACCAGGACAGACCAGGACAGACCAGGACAGACCAGACAGAACAGGACAGACCAGGACAGACCAGGACAGACCAGGACAGACCAGACCAGGACAGACCAGGACATAACAGGACAGACCAGGACAGACCAGGACAGACCAGGACAGACCAGGACAGACCAGACCAGGACAGACCAGGACAGACCAGGCAAGGACAGACCAGGACAGACCAGGACAGACCAGGACAGACCAGGACAGACCAGGACAGACCAGGACAGACCAGGCAAGGACAGACCAGGACAGACCAGGACAGACCAGGACAGACCAGGACAGACCAGGACAGAACCGGAGAGACCAGACCAGGACAGACCAGGACAGACCAGGACAGACCAGGACAGACCAGACCAGGACAGACCAGGACAGAACAGGACAGACCAGGACAGACCAGGACAGACCAGGACAGACCAGGACAGACCAGGACAGACCAGGACAGACCAGGACAGACCAGGCAAGGACAGACCAGGACAGACCAGGACAGACCAGGACAGAACAGGACAGACCAGGACAGACCAGACCAGGACAGACCAGGACAGACCAGGACAGACCAGGACAGACCAGGACAGACCAGGACAGACCAGGACAGACCAGGCAAGGACAGACCAGGACAGACCAGGACAGACCAGGACAGACCAGGACAGACCAGGACAGAACCGGAGAGACCAGACCAGGACAGACCAGGACAGACCAGGACAGACCCGGACTGACCAGGACAGACCAGGACAGACCAGGACAGACCAGGACAGACCAGGACAGACCAGGACAGACCAGGACAGAACCGGACAGACCAGACCAGGACAGACCCTGATAGACCAGGACAGACCAGGAAAGACCAGGACACACCAGGACAGACCAGATCAGACCCGGATGGACCAGGACAGACCAGGACAGACCAGAACAGACCAGGACAGACCAGGACAGAACCGGACAGACCAGACCAGGACAGACCCGGATAGACCAGGAAAGACCAGGACAGACCCGGATAGACCAGGACAGACCAGGACAGACCCGGACAGACCAGGACAGACCAGGAAAGACCAGGAAAGACCAGGACAGACCCGGATAGACCAGGACAGACCAGGACAGACCCGGACAGACCAGGACAGACCAGGACAGACCCGGACAGACCAGGACAGACCCGGACAGACCAGACCAGGACAGACCAGGACAGACCCGGACAGATCAGGACAGACCAGGACAGACCTGGACAGACCTGGACAGACCTGGACAGACCCTGGACAGACCTGGACAGACCCAGGACAGGACAGAACAGGACAGACCCGGCCAGACCAGACCAGGACAGGACAGGACAGACCAGGACAGACCAGGACAAAACCGGACAGACCCGGACAGACCCGGACAGACCAGGACAGACCAGGACAGACCAGGGTTGCAGTCCAATAGTCCGTTGCTCTTAGGAACCTTCCTAACGGAGTGAAATGACCCGGAAGTCGATCGAGCATGGTGCGGGTAGATCGCAGACCGTTAAACAAAAAAGTAACAAAAGAATGTAAAATGAAATAAAAAGATTATTTCCGCGGCACACCTTCATATGATCATTATAGTTATACAAACAATAAGAGAATAAATGAAAAACAGGAATTAAATACTATATGGCAGTTAAACAAGAATACAGTTTAAAAGGGGAGTGATTAGTAAAATATCCATAAAGAAAAAGAACATTTGTTTCCAGTTCTGTTTCATCTGGGTGCTGAGAGAGGTATCCATCTCTTCATGTTGCTCTCAAAGTGCACCAGATTGATGCTTTCAACTTCAATATTTAAAAAGAAAATCTTCCCGGGGGATTTCATTGGTGAATTGTCTTAGTGATAAACATTAAACTAGTTGAATGGTTGGTGGGTGATTGGTTGATTGATGTGTGAATTGGTGAATTGATTGATTGGTTCATTTGTTAATGTGTTGATGTGTTGAATGATTGATTGATTGGTTAATGACCGAATAACATCCTAAACCTCTGATTCCTTTCAGTGTGGTTAAAGACCCGCTCCATAGAAATGATGCAGAGAACTTCATATTCTCCCTTTAAGTCTAAACTCTGAACCTCTCGCCCCCCCTCCCTCAGATTCTGAGGATCTGCACCCGCTACACCCCGAATAAAGACACCATGACGTTCTCCGACGGGCTGACTCTGAACCGGACTCAGATGCATAACGCCGGCTTCGGCCGCTCACAGACCTCGTGTTCACCTTCGCCAACCAGCTGCTGCCGCTGGAGATGGACGACGCCGAGACCGGGCTGCTGAGCGCCATCTGCCTGCTCTGTGGAGGTACTGCACCTCATAGAGTATATATTAAAGTGGAGATGCTGTGTGTGGCTCGGCTGTAGCAAAACCCCAGAGACGGCAAAAAGTACCACACTTCCTTTATTCAAGTTAGAAGTACAGATACTCGTGTTTAAAAAATACTCTGGTAGAAGTAGAAGTACTGACTAACTTCTTTACTCAAGTGAAGTAAAGAGGCTTTGAAATGTACTTCAGTAACAAGTACCCATAACTAGCAGCTGCTTTTAAAGAGTACCTGAACCTCCCTTTATATTCATAGAACAATAATGTCATTGTTAGCTAATGAATGTTTCCATGCTGAACAACGGCAACAAGACAACGTTTCCATTGGTCCCTCTTCTTTAGAGAAGACCAGGAAATGATGGATACACGGATCGTGTTCAAATCAATAGGCACGCAATGACTCTAAAGAATAATGATCACGCACCAAACACACATTCAGACTAAAGGAACCAGCTGTTGGGAAATGAAGAGAAGTAGAAGTACAGGTATTTGGTTCAAATGTAAGAAGTAGAAAGTACAGGTATTTGGTTCAACATGTAAGAAGTAGAAAGTACAGGTATTTGAGTTCAACATGAGAAGTAGAAAGTACAGGTATTTGAGTTCAACTGTAAGAAATAGTAGAAAGTACAGGTATTTGAGTTCAACATGTAAGAAGTAGAAAGTACAGGTATTTGAGTTCAACATGTGAGAAGTAGAAAGTACAGGTATTTGAGTTCAACATGTAAGAAGTAGAAAGTACAGGTATTTGAGTTCAACATGTAAGAAGTAGAAAGTACAGGTATTTGAGTTCAACATGTAAGAAGTAGAAAGTACAGGTATTTGTAGTTCAACATGTAAGAAGTAGAAAGTACAGGTATTTGAGTTCAACATGTAAGAAGTAGAAAGTAAGGTATTTGAGTTCAAACATGTAAGAAGTAGAAAGTACAGGTATTTGAGTTCAACAGGTAGAAGTAGAAAGTACATTGTATTTGTAGTTCAACATGTAAGAAGTAGAAAGTACCGGTATTTGATGTTTCCAACAGTGCAGAAGTAGAAAGTACAGGTATTTGAGTTCAACATGTAAGAAGTAGAAAGTACAGGTATTTGAGTTCAACATGTAAGAAGTAGAAAGTACAGGTATTGAGTTTCAACATGTAGAAGTAGAAAGTACAGGTATTTGAGTTCAACATGGTAAGAAGTAGAAAGTACAGGTATTTGAGTTCAACATGTAAGAAGTAGAAAGTACAGGTATTTAGTTCACATGTAAGAAGTAGAAAGTACAGGTATTTGAGTTCAACATGTAAGAAGTAGAAAGTACAGGTTATTTGGTTCAACATGTAAGAAGTAGAAGTACAGGTATTGAGTTCAACATGTAAGAAGTAGAAAGTACAGGTATTTGTGTTCAACATGTAGAAGTAGAAAGTACAGGTATTTGTGTTCAACATGTAAGAAGTAGAAAGTACAGGTATTTGAGGTTCAACATGTAAGAAGTAGAAAGTCTTATTGAGTTCAACATAGTAAGAAGTAAAAGTACAGGTATTTGGGTTCAACATGTAAGAAGTAGAAAGTACAGGTTATTGAGTTCTAACATGTAAGAAGTAGAAAGTACAGGTATTTGGGTTCAACATGTAAGAAGTAGAAAGTACAGGTATTTGAGTTCAACATGTAAGAAGTAGAAAGTACAGGTATTTGAGTTCAACATGTAAGAAGTAGAAAGTACAGGTATTTGAGTTCAACATGTAAGAAGTAGAAAGTACAGGTATTTGAGTTCAAACATGTAAGAAGTAGAAAGTACAGGTATTTGGTTCAACATGTAGAAGTAGAAAGACAGGTATTGAAGTAGAAAGTACAGGTATTTGTGTTCAAAATGTAAGAAGTAGAAAGTACAGGTATTTGTGTTCACATGTAAGAAGTAGAAAGTACAGGTATTGTGTTCAACACTGTAAGAGAGTAGAAAGTACAGGTATTTGTGTTCCACATGTAAGAAATAGAAAGTACAGGTATTTGAGAGTTAAACATGTAAGAAGTAGAAAGTACAGGTATTTGAGTTCAACATGTAAGAGTAGAAAGTACAGGTATTTGAGTTCAACATGTAGAAGTAGAAAGTACAGGTATTTGAGTCAACATGTAAGAAGTAGAAAGTACAGGTATTGTGTTCAACATGTGAGAAGTAGAAAGTACAGGGTATTTGAGTTCAACATGTAAGAAGTAGAAAGTACAGGTATTTGTGTTCAACATGTGAGAAGTAGAAAGTACAGGTATTTGGGTTTCAACATGTAAGAAGTAGAAAGTACAGGTATTTGAGTTCAACATGTAAGAAGTAGAAAGTACAGGTATTTGAGTTCAACATGTAAGAAGTAGAAAGTACAGGTATTTGAGTTCAACATGTAAGAAGTAGAAAGTACAGGTATTTGAGTTCAACATGTAAGAAGTAGAAAGTACAGGTATTTGAGTTCAACATGTAAGAAGTAGAAAGTACAGGTATTTGTGTTCAACATGTAAGAAGTAGAAAGTACAGGTATTTGTGTTCAACATGTGAGAAGTAGAAAGTACAGGTATTTGAGTTCAACATGTAAGAAGTAGAAAGTACAGGTATTTGAGTTCAACATGTAAGAAGTAGAAAGTACAGGTATTTGAGTTCAACATGTAAGAAGTAGAAAGTACAGGTATTTGTGGTTCAACATGTAAGAAGTAGAAAGTACAGGTATTTGAGTTCAACATGTAAGAAGTAGAAAGTACAGGTATTTGAGTTCAACATGTAAGAAGTAGAAAGTACAGGTATTTGAGTTCAACATGTAAGAAGTAGAAAGTACAGGTATTTGAGTTCAACATGTAAGAAGTAGAAAGTACAGGTATTTGAGTTCAACATGTAAGAAGTAGAAAGTACAGGTATTGTGTTCAACATGTAAGAAGTAGAAAGTACAGGTATTTGATGTTGAACATGTAAGAAGTAGAAAGTACAGGTATTTGAGTTCAACATGTAAGAAGTAGAAAGTACAGGTATTTGAGTTCAACATGTAAGAAGTAGAAAGTACAGGTATTTGAGTTTCAACATGTAAGAAGTAGAAAGTACATTTATTTGAGTTCAACATGTAAGAAGTAGAAAGTACAGGTATTTGGGTTCAACATGTAAGAAGTAGAAAGTACAGGTATTTGAGTTCAACATGTAAGAAGTAGAAAGTACAGGTATTTGGGTTCAACATGTAAGAAGTAGAAAGTACAGGTATTTGAGTTCAACATGTAAGAAGTAGAAAGTACAGGTATTTGAGTTCAACATGTAAGAAGTAGAAAGTACAGGTATTTGTGTTCAACATGTAAGAAGTAGAAAGTACAGGTATTTGAGTTCAACATGTGAGAAGTAGAAAGTACAGGTATTTGTGTTCAACATGTAAGAAGTAGAAAGTACAGGTATTTGAGTTCAACATGAGAGAAGTAGAAAGTACAGGTATTTGTGTTCAACATGTAAGAAGTAGAAAGTACAGGTATTTGTGTTCAACATGTAAGAAGTAGAAAGTACAGGTATTTGTGTTCAACATGTAAGAAGTAGAAAGTACAGGTATTTGTGTTCAACATGTAAGAAATAGAAAGTACAGGTATTTGAGTTAAACATGTAAGAAGTAGAAAGTACAGGTATTTGAGTTCAACATGTAAGAAGTAGAAAGTACAGGTATTTGAGTTCAACATGTAAGAAGTAGAAAGTACAGGTATTTGAGTTCAACATGTAAGAAGTAGAAAGTACAGGTATTTGAGTTCAACATGTAAGAAGTAGAAAGTACAGGTATTTGTGTTCAACATGTGAGAAGTAGAAAGTACAGGTATTTGAGTTCAACATGTAAGAAGTAGAAAGTACAGGTATTTGTGTTCAACATGTGAGAATAAGAAAGTACAGGTATTTGGGTTCAACATGTAAGAAGTAGAAAGTACAGGTATTTGAGTTCAACATGTAAGAAGTAGAAAGTACAGGTATTTGAGTTCAACATGTAAGAAGTAGAAAGTACAGGTATTTGAGTTCAACATGTAAGAAGTAGAAAGTACAGGTATTTGAGTTCAACATGTAAGAAGTAGAAAGTACAGGTATTTGAGTTCAACATGTAAGAAGTAGAAAGTACAGGTATTTGTGTTCAACATGTAAGAAGTAGAAAGTACAGGTATTTGTGTTCAACATGTGAAGAAGTAGAAAGTACAGGTATTTGAGTTCAACATGTAAGAAGTAGAAAGTACAGGTATTTGAGTTCAACATGTAAGAAGTAGAAAGTACAGGTATTTGAGTTCAACATGTAAGAAGTAGAAAGTACAGGTATTTGTGTTCAACATGTAAGAAGTAGAAAGTACAGGTATTTGAGTTCAACATGTAAGAAGTAGAAAGTACAGGTATTTGAGTTCAACATGTAAGAAGTAGAAAGTACAGGTATTTGAGTTCAACATGTAAGAAGTAGAAAGTACAGGTATTTGAGTTCAACATGTAAGAAGTAGAAAGTACAGGTATTTGAGTTCAACATGTAAGAAGTAGAAAGTACAGGTATTTGAGTTCAACATGTAAGAAGTAGAAAGTACAGGTATTTGAGTTCAACATGTAAGAAGTAGAAAGTACAGGTATTTGTGTTCAACATGTAAGAAGTAGAAAGTACAGTATTTGAATTCACATGTAAGAAGTAGAAAGTACATTTATTGAGTTCAACATGTAAGAAGTAGAAAGTACAGGTATTTGGGTTCAACATGTAAGAAGTAGAAAGTACAGGTATTTGAGTTCAACATGTAAGAAGTAGAAAGTACAGGTATTTGGGTTCAACATGTAAGAAGTAGAAAGTACAGGTATTTGAGTTCAACATGTAAGAAGTAGAAAGTACAGGTATTTGTGTTCAACATGTAAGAAGTAGAAAGTACAGGTATTTGAGTTCAACATGTGAGAAGTAGAAAGTACAGGTATTTGTGTTCAACATGTAAGAAGTAGAAAGTACAGGTATTTGAGTTCAACATGAGAGAAGTAGAAAGTACAGGTATTTGTGTTTCAACATGTAAGAAGTAGAAAGTACAGGTATTTGAGTTCAACATGTAAGAAGTAGAAAGTACAGGTATTTGAGTTCAACATGTAAGAAGTAGAAAGTACAGGTATTTGAGTTCAACATGTAAGAAGTAGAAAGTACTTGTATTTGTGTTCAACATGTGAGAAGTAGAAAGTACAGGTATTTGAGTTCAACATGTAAGAAGTAGAAAGTACAGGTATTTGAGTTCAACATGTAAGAGTAGAAGTATTGAGTTCAACATGTAAGAAGTAGAAAGTACAGGTATTTGAGTTCAACATGTAAGAAGTAGAAAGTACAGGTATTTGAGTTCAACATGTAAGAAGTAGAAAGTACAGGTATTTGAGTTCAACATGTAAGAAGTAGAAAAGTACAGGTATTTGAGTTCAACATGTAAGAAGTAGAAAGTACAGGTATTTGAGGTTCAACATGTAAGAAGTAGAAGTACAGGTATTTGTGTTCAACATGTAAGAAGTAGAAAGTACAGGTATTTGAATTCAACATGTAAGAAGTAGAAAGTACAGTTATTTGAGTTCAACATGTAGAAGTAGAAAGTACAGGTATTTGGGTTCAACATGTAAGAAGTAGAAAGTACAGGTATTTGAGTTCAACATGTAAGAAGTAGAAAGTACAGGTATTTGAGTTCAACATGTAAGAGTAGAAAGTACAGGTATTTGTGTTCAACATGTAGAAGTAGAAAGTACAGGTATTTGAGTTCAACATGTAAGAAGTAGAAAGTACAGGTATTTGAGTTCAACATGTAAGAAGTAGAAAGTACAGGTATTTGAGTTCAACATGTAAGAAGTAGAAAGTACAGGTATTTGAGTTCAACATGTAAGAAGTAGAAAGTACAGGTATTTGAATTCAACATGTAAGAAGTAGAAAGTACATTTATTTGAGTTCAACATGTAAGAAGTAGAAAGTACAGGTATTTGAGTTCAACATGTAAGAAGTAGAAAGTACAGGTATTTGAGTTCAACATGTAAGAAGTAGAAAGTACAGGTATTTGAGTTCAACATGTAAGAAGTAGAAAGTACAGGTATTTGAGTTCAACATGTAAGAAGTAGAAAGTACAGGTATTTGTGTTCAACATGTAAGAAGTAGAAAGTACAGGTATTTGTGTTCAACATGTAAGAAGTAGAAAGTACAGGTATTTGAGTTCAACATGTAAGAAGTAGAAAGTACAGGTATTTGAGTTCAACATGTAAGAAGTAGAAAGTACAGGTATTTGAGTTCAACATGTAAGAAGTAGAAAGTACATTTATTTGAGTTCAACATGTAAGAAGTAGAAAGTACAGGTATTTGGGTTCAACATGTAAGAAGTAGAAAGTACAGGTATTTGAGTTCAACATGTAAGAAGTAGAAAGTACAGGTATTTGGGTTCAACATGTAAGAAGTAGAAAGTACAGGTATTTGAGTTCAACATGTAAGAAGTAGAAAGTACAGGTATTTGAGTTCAACATGTAAGAAGTAGAAAGTACAGGTATTTGTGTTCAACATGTAAGAAGTAGAAAGTACAGGTATTTGAGTTCAACATGTGAGAAGTAGAAAGTACAGGTATTTGTGTTCAACATGTAAGAAGTAGAAAGTACAGGTATTTGAGTTCAACATGAGAGAAGTAGAAAGTACAGGTATTTGTGTTCAACATGTAAGAAGTAGAAAGTACAGGTATTTGTGTTCAACATGTAAGAAGTAGAAAGTACAGGTATTTGTGTTCAACATGTAAGAAGTAGAAAGTACAGGTATTTGTGTTCAACATGTAAGAAATAGAAAGTACAGGTATTTGAGTTAAACATGTAAGAAGTAGAAAGTACAGGTATTTGAGTTCAACATGTAAGAAGTAGAAAGTACAGGTATTTGAGTTCAACATGTAAGAAGTAGAAAGTACAGGTATTTGAGTTCAACATGTAAGAAGTAGAAAGTACAGGTATTTGAGTTCAACATGTAAGAAGTAGAAAGTACAGGTATTTGTGTTCAACATGTGAGAAGTAGAAAAGTACAGGTATTTGAGTTCAACATGTAAGAAGTAGAAAGTACAGGTATTTGTGTTCAACATGTGAGAAGTAGAAAGTACAGGTATTTGGGTTCAACATGTAAGAAGTAGAAAGTACAGGTATTTGAGTTCAACATGTAAGAAGTAGAAAGTACAGGTATTTGAGTTCAACATGTAAGAAGTAGAAAGTACAGGTATTTGAGTTCAACATGTAAGAAGTAGAAAGTACAGGTATTTGAGTTCAACATGTAAGAAGTAGAAAGTACAGGTATTTGAGTTCAACATGTAAGAAGTAGAAAGTACAGGTATTTGATGTTCAACATGTAAGAAGTAGAAAGTACAGGTATTTGAGTTCAACATGTAAGAAGTAGAAAGTACAGGTATTTGAGTTCAACATGTAAGAAGTAGAAAGTACAGGTATTTGAGGTTCAACATGTAAGAAGTAGAAAGTACAGGTATTTGAGTTCAACATGTAAGAAGTAGAAAGTACAGGTATTTGAGTTCAACATGTAAGAAGTAGAAAGTACAGGTATTTGAGTTCAACATGTAAGAAGTAGAAAGTACAGGTATTTGAGTTCAACATGTAAGAAGTAGAAAGTACAGGTATTTGAGTTCAACATGTAAGAAGTAGAAAGTACAGGTATTTGAGTTCAACATGTAAGAAGTAGAAGTACAGGTATTTGGTTCAACATGTAAGAAGTAGAAAGTACAGGTATTTGATGTTCAACATGTAAGAAGTAGAAAGTACAGGTATTTGTGTTCAACATGTAAGAAGTAGAAAGTACAGGTATTTGTGTTCAACATGTAAGAAGTAGAAAGTACAGGTATTTGTGTTCAACATGTAAGAAATAGAAAGTACAGGTATTTGAGTTAAACATGTAAGAAGTAGAAAGTACAGGTATTTGAGTTCAACATGTAAGAAGTAGAAAGTACAGGTATTTGAGTTCAACATGTAAGAAGTAGAAAGTACAGGTATTTGAGTTCAACATGTAAGAAGTAGAAAGTACAGGTATTTGAGTTCAACATGTAAGAAGTAGAAAGTACAGGTATTTGAGTTCAACATGTAAGAAGTAGAAAGTACAGGTATTTGTGTTCAACATGTGAGAAGTAGAAAGTACAGGTATTTGAGTTCAACATGTAAGAAGTAGAAAGTACAGGTATTTGTGTTCAACATGTGAGAAGTAGAAAGTACAGGTATTTGAGTTCAACATGTAAGAAGTAGAAAGTACAGGTATTTGTGTTCAACATGTGAGAAGTAGAAAGTACAGGTATTTGGGTTCAACATGTAAGAAGTAGAAAGTACAGGTATTTGAGTTCAACATGTAAGAAGTAGAAAGTACAGGTATTTGAGTTCAACATGTAAGAAGTAGAAAGTACAGGTATTTGAGTTCAACATGTAAGAAGTAGAAAGTACAGGTATTTGAGTTCAACATGTAAGAAGTAGAAAGTACAGGTATTTGAGTTCAACATGTAAGAAGTAGAAAGTACAGGTATTTGTGTTCAACATGTAAGAAGTAGAAAGTACAGGCATTTGTGTTCAACATGTGAGAAGTAGAAAGTACAGGTATTTGAGTTCAACATGTAAGAAGTAGAAAGTACAGGTATTTGAGTTCAACATGTAAGAAGTAGAAAGTACAGGTATTTGTGTTCAACATGTAAGAGGTAGAAAGTACAGGTATTTGTGTTCAACATGTAAGAAGTAGAAAGTACAGGTATTTGTGTTCTACATGTAAGAAGTAGAAAGTACAGGTATTTGTGTTCAACATGTAAGAAGTAGAAAGTACAGGTATTTGAGTTCAACATGTAAGAAGTAGAAAGTACAGGTATTTGAGTTCAACATGTAAGAAGTAGAAAGTACATGTATTTGTGTTCAACATTTAAGAAGTAGAAAGTACAGGTATTTGGGTTCAACATGTAAGAAGTAGAAAGTACAAGTATTTGAGTTCAAAATGTAGAAGTCAAGGGTAAAGTAAAGTAGTGGAGTAAAGTACTGATACCAGAAACATGTACTCAAGTACAGTAACGCAGTATTTGTACTCCACTACTTCCATCCTCTGCCCCCAAGAGCTCCGGTCTCTGAGGGAAATATTCCTAGTGGCCAAACGGCGGTACTACAACCTCCGTATCAGTCCGTGACGTCACTGGGCCAGAAAGACTTTCCCCCATTGACTTACATGTTGAAAGAGACGTCTGTAAATAAGCGGACCATTTAAAATAAACTAAAACTAAACTAAAAAAACGACCCTAACTATTTTAAAGCCCTTGTTAGAATCATTAGGTCCTGAATCCAGATTTATTTTCTCTCTCCATTCATTCTACTGATTCGAGAGCAGGAGATCGGGTGGGGCTTAATGTCAGGAGGCGGGGCTGAATGACAGGAGGCGGGGCTTAAGGGGAAACTCAACTGTGTTCTCTGAACCGCATACTGGTACTTCTGCTGTGACAGCAAGGCATGATGGGTAATATGTGACGTTGTACGCCCTCACATTGAACTAAGGTGTCTTTCTCTAACTGTAGTAGCAAGGGGAAATATTTAATGCATGTGGTATTTTATGATGAAACAAAATATTGTCAAGAACCTTTTTTCATAGTTACAACATTTCGCTGTGTGTGTGTGTGTGTGTGTGTGTGCGTGTGTGTGTGTGTGTGTGTGCGTGTGTTGCAGACCGTCAGGACCTGGAGGAGTCGGACAAGGTGGATGTTCTGCAGGAACCCATGCTGGAGGCCCTGAAGGTCGGACCTGAAGGTCATCTAAGTAGTATTTATATTTAAAGTATATATTTATATTTATACAACGATCCCCTCTGTGTGTGCAGATGTATGTGAGGAGGAGGAGGCCGGATAAACCCTGCATGTTCCCCAAAATACTGATGAAGATCACCGACCTGAGGAGCATCAGTGTGAAGGGTGAGACACACACACACACACACACACACACACACACACACACACACACACACACACACACACACACTGGGCTTCATGGTGAGAATGACACAATATGATATTTACACAAATACCTCGATATCTGTTCGTGACGATGTTGTGCTTCCTCTCACGGAGTATTTTAAGACATTAATGGTTTTACTCAAGTGTCTAAGTACTTCTTCCTGTAGTTGTAAAGGTTAACCTCTTGTCTTTATATGAACTCTATAAGTAGTTGTACTGATGCCACTTTCGTCTCATTAGTATGCATAGAAAAGTGACAGGTCACACCTATACTCACGACGGAAGTCCCGCCCCCATAAGCCCCGCCCCCTCCCGGCGGAAGTTCCGCCCCAAGCACCCACTTCCGGTATAAGCCCCGCCCCTTCCGGCGAATGTCCACTTCCGGTTTACAAAAATAAAATAAAAAAATAATTTAAAAATGAGAAAAATAAAATGCTGCTTCAATCACATTAGTATGCATAGGATCTATGTCCCGCCTCCTAACCACTTCCTGTGCCCCCTAATCCTGTATACAGTATTGACTGTAACTTACAAATACTTGCAAATAACATGAAATAAATCAAAGTAAAGCATCTAAAAACCATATATTTAAAAAAAAGTAATGTCAGCCTCTCTCTCTCTAACCCCTTATTTTGTGAACAGTCTGGACTTGCCTGAGACAAGTCAGGACACGTGTGGGAGAAACCATAAAAGCCTGACAGCCTCTACAGCCATATGGCGGCCGAGGGGAGGGGGAACACACACACACACACACACACACACACACACACACACACACACACACACACACACACACACACACACACACACACCCAGATGTGGGGGGTTGAGATAGCCAGGGTGTAAATGCCTATGTTAATTAAGACACTCTCTGTGAGAGAAATGAAGTTAGTTTTAAAAAAAGAAATAAACTCAAATTAAATAAAAACAGCCATTAATTTTCACTCACCAAGACATCTAAAAACGTTATTGTCCTCTCTAGATTTGATTCAGGGTCTGTTTTAAATGGTGTGTGCTGGCTAAGGATGTTTCTTTTCAAGTTTTTGTGAAACTGCTAAAGAAGTATCTGTTTTGCAAAGAGGTTATTTTCAAAAGATCTTATTTAGGTTTTAATAGTGATACCTAAGGATATTCTCTTTTAGTTGTATGGATTTGTGAACTAATGTGTAATTACTTTTATTAACTATAATTGCACAGGATCATTCTAAGAAGAGTGAGAGGGCTAATGAGCCAGCACCATACCTCCTCTATGCATTTGCTTGACCTGTATCTGATCTTGAAAAACTTGACTCTTTTAAAAAAAGTTATTTTTCATCCATCATTTTCAACCATGCAGCAAGAGATCAAATTTAAGAATAAGTAATAGTTTGTCACGATTTTACGGGAAATAGTCAGAGCGCGATGTCACATCTTAAAGACAGCTTGAACTGGATAAATGGTTAGTCTTTTTCAAACATACCGTACGTTCTGCATGTTAGTATATCTGGCCAATCGATTTAGACCCTACTGCCCTAGACGCATGCCCTCAATAGGGAAGTCACGCTTTGGGAAGAGGTGTTTCATTTCACAGATCCACCTTGATTGTTGTTGTGAGGGGTGAAGGAAGAGGGACGGGGAAGGACAATTCAGAGGATGAAGAAGCAGAAAACATAACTTGTTTTGTAAAACGGACAGCACGTCAGTTTCAAGAAAGACGACACCGTGTTTATGCATGACATGCAAAATATCTTGAAGCCCTGTAAAAAAAAGGTACAAGTATATTATGTTGGAAATATCGCAAAAAGTCGTAATTTGTATAATGTATTAGTTGCATGTTGTATTTTGCTAGAAATCACTATGTAGTTTTTCAAGAAATATAATGGAAAAAGGAGAGAAAGACAAAAAACAAAATATCACAGTATGTTGAAAAATATGAAAAAGTAATGTGTTTAAAATAACATGAAAGAAATCAAAGTAACGTTTCTAAAAAACATATATTTTAGAAAAGTAATGTGAGTCATGTCAAGTTATCAAGACTGCTGTGTTTCATCGAAACAGTGTTAAAATCACAAACTTGCCTTTTAGAGAGACATAAAGAAAACAAATTCCTTACAAATTAATGAATATTTTACCCGGCTAAAAAGGTTTGCATCCATTAAAGTGTAACTAAAGTATCTTAGTAACACAAGAGAAGAGAATAAAGCATTGATGTCAACAAAACTGGATTGCTCCATTTGAAATTGTGTTAAAATCAAAAAGTGCCTCTAAAGAAAATGTATTCAGATAAAGTATTTTATTTTCAGAAATGTTTAAGGTTTTGCATACATAAAAAGTGTATCTTACAGTTCCTTTGTGAGAGAATTGCACACAAATATGCAGAGTGTCACTAAAAAGTTTTACACAGGGACTGACATTCTGTATGGGGGTTTCACACGGACACAAAGTCTACTAATACAAAGTACTTCATTATCTACTTTTTCAGCTTTTATACACAAAAGTGTATCTTTCAGTAACTTTCTCAGAGAATTTAAGCATATATCTGTCAAATGTTCAAAACAGCCTTGTTTCACTGAAATAGCCTCAAAATCACAAACTGCCATTAAGAGTCAGATGCTTTACGGAATCTAATAAAACAGAGTACTTTCATGGTTGGGGTCAGCTTTTAAAAAAGAAAAGTGTATCCTTCAGTAAAGTATAATGGAAAAAGGAGAGAAAGACAAAAAACAAAATATCACAGTATGTTGAAAAAATATGAAAAAGTAATGTGTTCAAAATAACATGAAGAAATCAAAGTAACGTTTCTAAAAAACATATATTTTAGAAAAGTAATGTGAGTCATGTCAAGTTATCAAGACTGCTGTGTTTCATCGAAACAGTGTTAAAATCACAAACTTGCCTTTTAGAGAGACATAAAGAAAACGAATTCCTTACAAATTAATGAATATTTTACCCGGCTAAAAAGGTTTGTATCCATTAAAGTGTAACTAAAGTATCTTAGTAACACAAGAGAAGAGAATAAAGCATTGATGTCAACAAAACTGGATTGCTCCTAATCAGTATAACTATTTGATTTTTGTGTGTGAAAAAATAAAAAAGTGGTTTTTTACATTTAAAAACTGTTGTCTTCATTATAGCAAGGGGGCGTGTCTGATACATGTGTATTACAGTCCTCCTTTTTGTGTTTTTCAGTGTTTTTCTGTGTGTCTGTACACACAAAACACAAATCATTTCAAACAAACCCTGAATCAAATTTAGAGAGGACCATTAAGAGTCAGAATCTTAACCAAATCTACTAATACAAAGTACTTCATTATCTACTTTTCAGCTTTTATACACAAAAGTGTATCTTTCAGTAACTTTATCAGAGAATTTAAGCATAAATCTGTCAAATGTTCAAAACAGCCTTGTTTCACTGAAATAGCCTCAAAATCACAAAATGCCTGCACACTGGAATGTGCTATGACAGATATGGCCTCTTGGGCACTCTGGAACAAGGTAGCGCTCCATGGAACGAGCAACCCCCCCCATCCCTCAGCATACAAGCTCTTGGATTTAAAACAGAGGGAGGGCACTGTAAAGACAAAGGATCAAACGTGGAGGGCAAAGGAAATCTAAAAATCGACTTAGTATCAAAGAAATCATGTTTGAATGCAAAACGTTTCATATTTTCCTGCTAACCTTGAATTATCCTGTCCTGTCGTTTCGCTCACAGCTGTTTCTTACACATGACATGCATTGTTTTACAATTTATTACATAAGGTGAACATGTTTATGTGTTGCACAGGATATAATGGAGCCAAGTACGTATTAATAAAAACAAATGCTAGCTAACTGACTTGCATGAATCAAATATATGTAAACCTCTATTATCAGTCCATCCTTTATGTTCTGTTTTTTATTCCGCTAAAACCATCTTCTGTGTTTTTCTACCCTATTGAGCAAAATAACTCTTAACACTGGAAATGTTATAACATGTTAAAAGGGCTTCTTGTGCTATATACACAATTGTCCTTCATTCAATTTGTCACTTAGGTTGCAAATAACCAACATACCCACTGACAATGGGGCATAAAATCAGGTTTTTCCCCTCTTTTGGTGTAAACTGAGCTTGTGTCCGTTCGAGCCAAACCAAACACGAGTAAAAGGAGAACAAGACTTTTTCCCAGGCTGTGGAGAATGCTGCTGAATAAGTCAAACAGACCAACACAGAGCAGAAAGGGGAACATTTGTCGCCACATTAACATACCGACTCCTCTATCAGTTTTTGATTTATAAAGAACCTCTCCAAAACTTTACAGGCCAAATTATTCAAATTTAGACTGATGTTTTCTCAATTTGTGACCAAAAAGCGTCATTTCACACAAAAGTCCCAGTCAGTCTATTCCAACAGACCAAGTGGAAAATCTCTCAAACTATTTAAACACAAAGCGTCAATTTGGAGATTTCTTTCTGGATAGCCATATTAAAAGATACCATTGATCTTTTTGTTCAATTTGTTGGTTTGCTCTCAAGTCCTTATGGTCAAGAAAATGACTCCATTTGTGGTGGAGCAAAATCAATGCAAATTAATCCTTTATTCATTTCCCTGTGAACAATTCAATTCTTTGCACTTTTGTTTGGGGTCCGTGAGCTAAACAAAATCATAAAAAAGTGGAGAATGTGAAAGTTTATTGGCCAGTGGAGGAGAGAGATGACCTCGCTCATCAATGACAAAGACTCCTTTATGGCGTTGGTGTGAACCCATGACGCAGGCCTATTCCACTCTGACTGACCAGCACCACAGCACATCCAATACGTGCTAAAATGGTGCCTCAGTAAAACCAACTCTTTTTAGACGCATAATGGAGGTTAGAAAACCGACAAAAACCGTAATCTTTGCCCATTCTTTAGTGCACATACTGAGGGTCGGGGTGACGGACTGCAGGCTGCCTGTCGAAGACACCAACAGATTTATTATAAATGTTTCGTTTTACAATACTATTACTATATATGAAAGCAAAAAATAAAACACATTTTCATTTTTGTAATGTGTTTTTTATGAAAATGTGTTTTATTTTTTGCTTTCATATATAGTAATAGTATTGTAAAACGAAACATTTATAATAAATCTGTTGGTGTCTTCGACAGGCAGCCTGCAGTCCGTCCGCCGGAAGGGGGCGGGGCTTATACCGGAAGTGGTGGGGGGGGGGCTTGGGGCGGGACTTCCGCCGTAAGTGGGCGGGGCTTAGAGGTGTTACCTGTCACTTTTCTATGCATACTAATGAGACGAAAGTGGCATCAGTACAACTACTTCTATATACTTTATAAACCTCAGTAAAATGACTAAATCTCTCCCCCCCCCCCTCCCTGTGTTGCAGGAGCAGAGCGAGTGATCTCTCTGAAGATGGAGATCCCCGGCTGCATGCCCCCTCTCATCCAGGAGATGCTGGAGAACTCTGAGGGTCTGGAGGGAGCTGGGGGAGGGAAGGGAGGAGGAGATAAGGGAGGGAAGGGAGGAAGTGGAGGAGGGAAGGGAGGAGGAGGAGGAACCAGAGAGGAAGATAAACCAGAGCTCCGTCTTTCACCAAAACCAGATTCCTCCTCCAGTCCGAGTCCTTCTCCTTGTTCCCCGTCCTCTCCTCCCCCCTCCAGCTGAAGGTCAGGACCCCTACCTGAAGGTCATGACCCCCACCTGAAGGTCTACGCCCCCCAGAGGCATCACACTGCCATACACCCCTCCACAACCCCAGCAGACTGAGAGCAGGAGGTGTGAGGCAGTGTGGGAGGAAACCCGGACATACAACCTGCAAAAAGCTGCCTCCTCGTTATTATTATAGGAGCCAATCAGAGCCCTGGGATTAAAGGGAGGAAGACTTTAACCCCCCACCAGGAAGTGCGCCGGACGTTGAAGCACATTTCTGTAGTGGCCAAACGGAGGTACTACAACTACTGTGACGTCATGTTGGCCCAAAGATACTTTCCCCCATTGACTTACATGGAAAAGTGAAGAGACGTCTGTAAATCAGCCGATCATTTTTCTGTATCTAAATAAACTCCCCAGCACGAGGCTTACTGGTTGGAGGCGGGGCTTACTGTCGGGGGCGGGGCTTAAGGGAAACTCCAGTGCTCTATGACTGTGAATAGATACAGAAGATCCTCGACTGAACACTCGTTTATTTTCTATTTCTGTTGCTCATTCAATTTAAAGCCTCCGATTCTCCATCGTGGTTCTAGAGTCACTTTACTGGGGGGGGCCGTGCTGGGACCAGTTATTGAATGAGAGGCACAGTTAGTGCTGGCGACAGAGTTACATTATGATGTCATAGCGCACAAAGACATGAAACACCATCATCGATTTTTGTGAACAACAGAATTTGTGTTGTAATTGTAGAAGCTGTGTGTCCACACACCCTGGCTCCTGCCTTCATACCCAGAGCTCTGATTGGCTGAGGTTGATGAAAGGTGCATGTGTAAATGAAGGATTAGAGGACAGCCTGATGAAGAGGAGCATTATTTCTGCATTATGGGACGTATAGTGTTCAGAGTCAATATCTGTAATATATTGTAAATATAAAAAATCACTGTGAGAGGTTTTCAGACGGAGTGGACTCAAACAAGAAGTTATTTTCCTAACTGTACAGACTGTATCCCCCAAACACACAGTAAACGACTACACACACACACACACACACACACACACACACACACACACACACACACACACACACACACACACACACACACACACACACACACACACACACACACACACACACACACACACACACACACACACACACACACACACACATTTGAATACTTTATTTGGTTCCACAAATTATATTACATAAGACAGGGAATCAAATATATCGGGGCCAAGCAGCACAGAACACTTAGGGGAACACATAGCACCTCCTTCTCCACACGGCTAAGCTGCCAATAATAGCTGAAACAGAGCAATATTTGGCAATTTGTTTGGCTTTTCTCTTTGACATTCCAGCAATTCTCAGACCAATCACGGTGCATTTATATACATGGCCAAGACTTCCGAATATAAGTATGCTGTATATCACATCGAGCAGTGGTTGGTATTTGATATACTTGTCCTGGAAAGCCTGGTCCATGTACAGGTCAAAGGCACAGCCTACTTCTAATATTAGCACCTCCCTGTGGTTGGTGTCAACAAAAACCACATCAGGTGTATTTGGATGTTAGCAAAGACATCATTGGTGAAGCCAAACCGTTCTAGTAGCTCTCTAGCGTGCTTGTACATTGCTGCGCTAGATGGTAAGATGTTTCGTACCGCATCAGACACAATGTCCACAGTACGGTCATGACTATGTACAGGCGTTTGTATGCATTACATCCATGTGTTATGTGTGCAATGGATTCTAGGTGTTGTTGTGAATCCTGATGGTTTAAACAGAATGGAGTGTGAATGCGAGGGTACCAGGTGGACAGATTGTACTTCGTGGGTAATACCTGCAGTCTTGCTTTGATGGTAAATGTCAGAACATCCTCACCAACAGCGGCGTTCTTAAACACTGAGTGTGAGACTGAGTGGTCAGCAAACCCCAAACAGGCTTTCCCTGTAGTCTGAGTCCACACCAGTGCTGCCTGATCTCAGACTGCTTCGTGCTGAGCAGAACCCTCCTTGCAGAGTCTCTGTGCAGTTCCACAGTCTCTTCCTGAGGTGTTGTGATGTCGGCCTTCACAACCACACTGGGGTCTGTGATCAGTTCATCAGAGACAGGGACTTCAGTCTGTGTGTTGAGTCTTGTCCATTTCAGCTGGACTCCAGTCCGATTGCAGAGGTCATTGAGATCTGGCCAGTCAGACCAGACCCCGAAGCCCCTGGCCTGAGAGTCCAGTTTCCCAGAGTCTTTCCTCCTGAAGCCGAGGAAGTTGTTCTGGTCTGCGCTGGCTAGGGGGATCTTCCTTCTGTATAGATCCAGCAGGAGAGAGGCCCTGGCCATTTCTCTTACGGTGACATCATCATTGTTAAGCATGTGGATCAGGTGGGCTAGCCTGGTGGCTATGTAGGTCCACTCGACATTGGGGACTCCCAGCCCCCCCTCTCCACATGGGAGACAGATGATGCCCCGTGTGGAGTGTGTGTTGAGGCCCACCCACTTTCTGACCAGCTGGACAGTTTTGTTTGTCATTTCTCTCAGTGCCTTGAGAGGGATGTGTACATTGGCAAAGAGATGTTGAATTTTAGCCAAAGCCACCTCTCTCACAGCCTGGAACCTCATGAGGACGGGGAGGGGGGACAAGTCAATCAGGTGGAGACGATGGAGAAACTCTGTAGCGAGCTCCTCGACCTGCTCCCCCCACTCGCCAGCGATGTTAAACCTGTGGCCAAGGTATGGGTAGGTCTCATTACGGGAATACACCTTAATGGGTTGGCCCATTACAAGAAAGGAGGGGGGCTTGTCGTTCTTGGCCTTATACCAGCGGTTGCCTCCACTGCGGCGCTCATGAAGTACGGCACACTTAGCCTGCTTCACCTCCAGCCCTGACCATTGGAGGAACTCATCAGTGCGCGCCAGCATGTTAATGATGACATCCTCTTGTTGTGATGACACCTGCACGTCGTCAGCGTATCCCTGAACAGGATTTGGGGATTTGACATGCAAAGGAGCGCACTGGTAAATCCACTTCATCCATTGGTTGAGTGCTAGGATGAAGTTCACGGCACTCCAGGGACAGCCAGTTTTTATTCCCACCTTCAGTGCAATCGGCTCTGTGAGCTGCTGCCCACAGATAACCTGGAGAAATGAACCTTGGTACACATTGGATACAATATTCACCAAAGGCTGAGGCAGGTGTATTTCCTCTAATGCTTGTAGCATCACCTCATGGGAGAGTGTACACACACACACACACACACACACACACACACACACACACACACACACACACACACACACACACACACACACACACACACACACACACACACACACACACACACACACACACACACACACACACACACACACACACACACACACACACACACACACAGCCCTAAAAATGCAGTGGGAGTCACCGACTCAGGAAAGAGACACTGGAAGATCTTTGATGTCAAACACAGATGGTTTATTTGGAGCTTCGGCCGGAGGATTCACATCACAAGTCACAGCAGCCACGATCTGACTGCACGTGAGAGTTGCCACGTCAATTCTGAAGAACTCTACCCAGACCCGTGTGGTTAGCTAGTTCTGAGAGCATCATCAACATGCTGCATAACAAGATAGAACCATAACACCTCTATCAGCTGATCCAACAGGCAGGAACACAGAACCATAACACCTCTATCAGCTGATCCAACAGGCAGGAACATAGAATCATAACACCTCTATCAGCTGATCCAACAGGCAGGAACACAGAACCATAACACCTCTATCAGCTGATCCAACAGGCAGGAACATAGAACCATAACACCTCTATCAGCTGATCCAACAGGCAGGAACATAGAACCATAACACCTCTATCAGCTGATCCAACAGACAGGAACATAGAACCATAACACCTCTATCAGCTGATCCAACAGACAGGAGCATAGAACCATAACACCTCTATCAGCTGATCCAACAGGCAGGAACATAGAACCATAACACCTCTATCAGCTGATCCAACAGGCAGGAACATAGAACCATAACACCTCTATCAGCTGATCCAACAGACAGGAGCATAGAACCATAACACCTCTATCAGCTGATCCAACAGACAGGAACATAGAACCATAACACCTCTATCAGCTGATCCAACAGGCAGGAACATAGAACCATAACACCTCTATCAGCTGATCCAACAGACAGGAACATAGAACCATAACACCTCTATCAGCTGATCCAACAGGCAGGAACATAGAACCATAACACCTCTATCAGCTGATCCAACAGGCAGGAACATAGAACCATAACACCTCTATCAGCTGATCCAACAGGCAGGAACACAGAACCATAACACCTCTATCAGCTGATCCAACAGACAGGAACATAGAACCATAACACCTCTATCAGCTGATCCAACAGGCAGGAACATAGAACCATAACACCTCTATCAGCTGATCCAACAGACAGGAACATAGAACCATAACACCTCTATCAGCTGATCCAACAGACAGGAACATAGAACCATAACACCTCTATCAGCTGATCCAACAGGCAGGAACATAGAACCATAACACCTCTATCAGCTGATCCAACAGACAGGAACACAGAACCATAACACCTCTATCAGCTGATCCAACAGGCAGGAACATAGAACCATAACACCTCTATCAGCTGATCCAACAGACAGGAGCATAGAACCATAACACCTCTATCAGCTGATCCAACAGGCAGGAACATAGAACCATAACACCTCTATCAGCTGAAACAACAGACAGGAACACAGAACCATAACACCTCTATCAGCTGATCCAACAGGCAGGAGCATAGAACCATAACACCTCTATCAGCTGATCCAACAGACAGGAACATAGAACCATAACACCTCTATCAGCTGATCCAACAGGCAGGAACATAGAACCATAACACCTCTATCAGCTGATCCAACAGGCAGGAGCATAGAACCATAACACCTCTATCAGCTGATCCAACAGGCAGGAACATAGAACCATAACACCTCTATCAGCTGATCCAACAGGCAGGAACATAGAACCATAACACCTCTATCAGCTGATCCAACAGACAGGAATATAGAACCATAACACCTCTATCAGCTGATCCAACAGGCAGGAGCATAGAACCATAACACCTCTATCAGCTGATCCAACAGGCAGGAACATAGAACCATAACACCTCTATCAGCTGATCCAACAGGCAGGAACACAGAACCATAACACCTCTATCAGCTGATCCAACAGACAGGAATATAGAACCATAACACCTCTATCAGCTGATCCAACAGGCAGGAACATAGAACCATAACACCTCTATCAGCTGATCCAACAGACAGGAACATAGAACCATAACACCTCTATCAGCTGATCCAACAGACAGGAACATAGAACCATGACACCTCTATCAGCTGATCCAACAGGCAAGAGCATAGAACCATAACACCTCTATCAGCTGATCCAACAGGCAGGAACACAGAACCATAACACCTCTATCAGCTGATCCAACAGGCAGGAGCATAGAACCATAACACCTCTATCAGCTGATCCAACAGACAGGAACATAGAACCATAACACCTCTATCAGCTGATCCACCAGACAGGAACATAGAACCATAACACCTCTATCAGCTGATCCAACAGGCAGGAACATAGAACCATAACACCTCTATCAGCTGATCCAACAGACAGGAACATAGAACCATAACACCTCTATCAGCTGATCCAACAGGCAGGAACATAGAACCATAACACCTCTATCAGCTGATCCAACAGACAGGAACATAGAACCATAACACCTCTATCAGCTGTTCCAACAGGCAGGAACATAGAATCATAACACCTCTATCAGCTGATCCAACAGGCAGGAACATAGAATCATAACACCTCTATCAGCTGATCCAACAGGCAGGAACATAGAATCATAACACCTCTATCAGCTGATCCAACAGGCAGGAACATAGAACCATAA